AAGGCAGCAGTCCTAAATTATGTAGTGCATGGTGGCATAGATGAATTATAGGATGGTTTTGCGTGTCGTTTTGCTACAATTAAGTGTGTGTTTATTCATTTGTTCGTGAAATAATATAATATAAAATAATCAAAAATAAACGGTGACGACGTTTCAAATTTTAATAGTCTTTGTCATGCGAACACATCCTGGATGTCCGCTGTTTAAAATCTGGCACACTTATATAGGATATAGGCCTGACGCCAGCCCTTGAATGACTTCGATGGAACAAGATGGAATTGAATTACAGAGATCAAAAACTTGGCTTGGATTTATATAGTTGTGAGAATATTATTGGGTTTGCATGATCGAGTGATGGTTTAGTAAATTTTTTGTATTGCATGGAATTACAGAGATCAAGAACTTGGCTTGGAGTTATATAGTTGTGAAAATATTGTTGGGTTTTAATCAAGTGATGTTTTAGCATAATTTGACTCAAGTGGGCAAAAACCATTGAACAGGGGTCAACTAAAACAACGAAGAAAGAAAACGTCAACAAATCTTATGTAAACAAATTCCTTGACCGGTATAATTTATAAAAGCCAATATAAAACAATATATAAAAGCCTTCTTTTACACTTGATGCTGACCCTTGATCCCAACTTTTGAGTGGATGTGTCGTCAAATGAAACCCAAGAATATGTAATAAAGACTATATTTAACTTTAAAAATTAAGACAGAAATGAGTTCCACGACACCAAAGTTACCAAATAGTTTTCGCAGAAAAGGGAAGTGCATGATAGTCAGAGTCAATCTTAGTAATAAAGACCTTTTAATACAATAAATTTATCGACAGTCACCTTTGGTTTATTCTCTTACATAATACTTACTTCTTGCACATATATTACTGTAATTATTCCTAGTTTTTAGGTTGTCACATTCATTATTCCGCTTGTATTTTCACAGAATCGAAAAGGCAAAACATCCCAATTAGCCTCCTTGTTTCGCATTCCTGTGTCGCATTCCACTAGCATTCCTGTTTCAACAGTTCTGCAACAAATTTTTCCTCGTCGAAATTTTTCATATTTCTCATCTCAACCGAACGATAATTTTTTTTTTTATAACAATAACAATAACAGAAATATATTTTTCTGATGGCAAATATTAAGGTATGAACACTTATACCTGTATGCATGAATAACACCACAATCAGAAATTTTCTCAGGTGTATTAGTAGCAATATAATCAATTAGGCTGGTAGTTTTGATAGTTACTCGAGTAGCATAATCTATCAGTTGCGATAACTGATATAATTCGTACAATTTTTTGTAGGAATGTTAGATTCATTATCTGGTTTAGTAAATCACAGTTGAGATCATCCAGAGAATACATTTCATTATTTTCATTATCAATAGTTTTGATCAATTTTTCGAAGTGATCAAATAATTCAGATAATGCACTTGGTGGTCTATAAACAGCCTCGTCCCCAGGCTCCAGTATGTGCGTGAGGTTTGCGACGCGAATCTCACACTTCCCCCTTTTCCCGCCCACGCATGTTTCTCGCGTGTTTCTCACATTTCCCCCCTTTTCCCGTCCACGCGTGTTTCTCGCGTGTTTCTCTCGCGCCAGGGAAGAGGTTATAAACTGTAGTAACAAGAAATGGTTTGCTATGAGGCTTAGTAATTTCAATACAAACAGCCTCTAGTTCAGTTAAAAACTAGATCATTTCTTATTTCGTAGTTGTTGCATGGAGCTATGCAAGTATATACAAACTCCACCACCATTTCTTGATCTTTGATCTTTTCTGACAATATCATTATCAGTAAGGTGTACAGTATTATCAGTTATATTGGAATCATGCAAGTCGTGTCTCATTGAAAGTAATAAGATCAATATATATTTTTGACATTGAATATCCTATTTCATCAATTTTTTTAGGCAGATTAACAATATTTAGAAAAGCCATTTTAAAACCTTTTCATTAGGAATGTAGTTTAGGCTAGTGATAAAATCGCTGCTCACACTGTTTGAGAAGTTAGTATTTTCTAGTGTCTCAATGCTAGGCTCACATATTTCAGATACACCATCCAGTCTCTCTTTCGATATCCATAAAGTTGACGAAAAAATTTTGTATGACTATCAACTGGTGTATTACCAGCAGCTTTTACTCTATTTGATTTGAAGTACGTACAGAAACTACGCCCCAGCACTCTATCGCCCAATGCGGTTCAAGTGCAAGTTCGATCTATTTAATGAGGACCTATCTATTTGATCATTATCAATAAAGATAAATTTTTTTTAGTGCATAAATCTTTAACTATCAATGGTATTAAATCTAGGTATGTTGTTTGCTACAACACGACAATCATACCTTTTGATTACACTTCACACTGCAATCTTGTCAATCTTGTTCAGATCTTAATATGGCCATCCATCTTTGTTGCCACCTTCTCAGTATCGTTGTTGAAAAGATCATCGGTACTGACATGGAGGACAAATGTGTAATATTCTTCATCTTCTGACCATTTTCCTTTTTCTTGGCACTGATTTTTCCCACTCGTGCACTGCTGTAGGAATCGACAACTGACTGGCAACCCGCGCGACTCTCTCGATTTTCTGCCGCAATCGATGTGCTTCACCATGGAGTCAGCAATAACCAGAGTCTTCCTCTTTCCTGGTTTGTCAATTGGTTGATTTACATAAGGAAAATTTTGGTAAATTTTGCTTTTTTTGTTGAATTAGTAAACCTTGATGTTTCTTTTGAACGATATTTTTAATCTGGCTACTGATGCTTGCCTTCTCTTCTTCATTTCGAGACGACTCTGGCTCTGTCATCGAAGGTATATTTTCATCCTCAAGTGTTGCACAAAGACGTCGAAATAACAGGAGCTGTTTTTTTTATCAGACGGACTGGGACGTTGACAGGCCCTGTGGCTTTTGTAACATCCAGTGTTTCAAGATTTTTGGCTTCAGGCAATTTTCTAACGAAATTCACTGTTTTTGTTAGATTAGGCAATATTCAGGTAATATAGCATATAACTTCCACAGTGTTCATTTTAAAAGCGTCGAATCAGTTTATTCGAAGCACCCACATTGGTGGAAATTAATAAGTAATTGTTTATGTCTGTCGCACCATATCTAAAACTGGACCAATAGTAAGGTTTGTTTTGATGTGTTTATCGACGGCAAGGTATATAATTACTGAATCAATCTGACCTCATTATGCCAGTATCAGGTTTCTGTTTTCACAATAATGTTAGCATTAGTGATATTGACAAGTTGAATTATTTGAAGGGATGTCTTAAAGAGGAGGCTTGGGCTGCCATATCAAGATTAATTGTCTTTAAGTTCGGAAAATTATAAGGAAGCTGTAAGTATTTTAATAAGAGACAGGTTTGGAAATGAGAAAGTTTTAATTTCTGCTCATATGGAATCTTTGTTGAAAATTGATAAGATTAGGTCCGTAGGTAACATGAAAGGGTTAAGAATGCTTTATACTCATGGTGCGAATTGTATTACGAATTTCAAATCACTTAAGCTCGACACCAATGGATATGGTTCACTTCAAATTCCCATATTAAAGGATAGATTGCCTGATAATTGAGATTATAATATGATAATTTATCGACAATTTTGTGGGAAAGTCTGGAACTTAGATAAAGTCTTAAGTGATGGAGTATTTTGGCAACAGTGAACTTAGAGCCCAAGAATATTGTAGCCAAGTGGATGCCGAGTACGGAGGTCATGTAAATTTATTAAAATATAGACCATATAAAAGGTTGGATTAGTTCTGCTTTTTACATTCCAAAAACCAACCTTTAATTTTTATTTTTGCTCGTATCTTTTTAATGTATTATGTAATTATTATAGATAATTCAGAACTATGGTTGAGATGTTACCGTGTATAAATATTAGTAAATAATAATGGAAACTTTATTTAATTTTCTAAACTTACAACTGCAAATCTCACTATATAAGGTAATTCACAATTGGCAACTTGATATATTACTATTAAATGATTTTATAACGCACGATTAAATTTACTCTATTACTCTATATACATACTTATACAATAAAAATTTTAAAGTTTCATCAAGTCCGGATTCATCCAGTTCTTATTTCGACAACAAAAAATGTAGTAGGTTGACCTTATTGCAATATTAATAATATTTTAAATAACGTATCTTACATGAGCTTTATCTAAATTAAAATGTTCCAACATGTCTATAAAACCAGAAGATTCCTTGTCGAACACACCAAGTGCACTAATCGAAAGGTTGATGAAGTTTACCGCATGATAATTTTTCTTTTGTGTCATAATCATATCTTTATACTTGGAGTATTTCCTGTTAACATTATTTCTGAGGTTAGTCTCATATCCAACGGTTAATTCCAGAATATACAGGCAATTGTCTTTCGTCAAAATTAGTAAATCAGGCCGATAATCATCACCATTGATTGTAGAAGGATTAGAGAATGACGACAAATTAGCATAAATGGTCCGGATATGTTCTGATGGAAGGTTATTAGCAATGAAATTTAGAATTGAGTCATGTCTACAAGTAAATCTATCGAGGTAGGAACTGCAACCAGCGACGACGTGTAATAGAGATTCAGGATTAATGCAAAACGATCATTCAGAAGACGAGGATAGCCCCCATCTTTGAAGGTTCTTACGGGTTGGCTGCGAATTGTTTATACAGCGAATGGTAACGTTGAAAATGTTTTTAGGCAATTTGGACCGACTGGCTGGCCAGATCATATTTACTTGGGTTAGGGAAAATCTTGATACACTGGTAAAGAATGAGCCTTGGTATGTTAGTTGGTTTGTTAATTTATCTTCTTGATCATCACGAAATGACTTAATCACTTCCTTCATCGAACTGTATTGGTCGTATTGTAAATTAGTATGATTAGTTGTTGACTTCTAGAGGTGGATTATTGATTCATTAGGAGATGATTTTAAAGCATTCCGAATTGTTTCCTAGCATTATAAAAACTTAGTTGATGAGGGGATGATGTTAAGACCAAATTTGTTGCTGGTTAGGTACGTAGATGTTACTCAGCGTTCCAGAAATAGGTACCTCAAGCCATTTGCGAACATATTGCGTAAATAAAGAATCCAGGTTTTTCGAAATCCAGGTTTTTGAAATTGATGTAATAGTAAGATGCCAGGAGAGTTTCGATAAAACATAACGATTGTAAAGTAGAATCTTGTTCTTCGGATGTAATGGATTGAGATCTATTTTTTTCAATAGATTTGTTAGAAGGGAGATTAGTTCCAGTTTGTGTTCATTATTAGTCATTTCATAATCAACATATCTTCCTAAATAGCAGAATGATTTACCGAGTTCAATAGCTGGAATAACGGCGTTGTTAATAAGAAGTTTAGGGAGGTATTGAACAGATTTTGTGAGAGCCTTTTTAATGCCAAATATGCTGCATTTATTCACTCGAACAATCATGTCAGCCCATTGACGCCAAATTGCAAATCGGTTTAATAAATGCTGATTTTCAGATTCTTGACCGGTAATCACGGCTGCGTCATCAGCAAATTGGAACCAGTGTATTGGGTTCAAGAGTTTATATGAAAAACCAAACTGTTGATATTTTTCGGATTTTATGTGCTGGACAAAAGTGTTGAAACAAAGGTTAAACAATAATGGACTAAGACAATCTCCCTGCAAAACACCACGACCAACTTGTAGAAATGGGGTGTTGAGATCAGATGTGATGATTGATGTTTTAAAATTTGTGTAGAGGCTTTTAATCAGGAATTGAATATGTTCAGGTATGTGATGATAGCCGAGAACCGATTGAATTAGATTGTGATGTACTTCACCAAAAGCATTCTTGAAGTCAAGGAGGGTTATAACTAAGAATCGCTGTCTAATTCGTGCTTGATTGATCATATATGCCATTTGTGCCGTCTGTTCAAATGTTCCTGAGATATGGGGGGTGAATCCTTTTTGTATCTTGTGTTCAATAAAGTTATTCGCAAGTTTGTAAGCGAACATAGCATTACGGAGACTTGAAATAAATACTTTCAGTGGTACAGATTGAAGGGTTATTGGTCGAAAGTTCTCGTGGAGATTAGTATCGCCTTTCTTGTGGATTAGTGTTGTGCAAGCTTCCTTCCATTCGTCAGGAACAGTTCCAGAAAGCCACACTGCTTGGATTAGTTCTACTTGATATGTTCGGAGGTATGGACAGCGTTTAAAACAAATAATGGAGATTTGGTCAAGAGGAGAAGGTGAGCCAGATGTTTTCATTTTGCGAATAATGTTTGTTACTTGTTGATAAGTCCGTGGTTCGAGGTTAAATTCAAAAACAGGATCGGGTAACATAGGAATCCAACTTGGTATTTGAAATATTTTATTTGGGTTGATCTTGGTCAATACTGTCTTAAAATGTTTTTCGCAATCGCCTATATTGAAAGTTGGGAGGATGGATTCGTTGTAAGTAAGGACTTTCTTTACATATCCCCAGAAATTTCGTTCAAAGTATTTATTGTGGTTAAAGGATTCTTCAGTATTATTAACAAGATTATGATTAGTCTGGCAAGTTTTCAGCTTATCACGCACAAGACGAAAAACATATTTAATTTCAGCAAGATCAGAGTTTGACGATTTTAGTAGTTTTAAAGTTTTCTTTAAGCCCTTTATAGTGTGATTTTTATATTTATATTTGAGTGAATTGTCCGGCAGGTCTTCTACACAGCCGAAGTTCTCAGCGAAGTAGTTGTAGATGGTGTCATTCAATAAGTTAATTGATGAATTTAAATCGTGACTTTTGATTGGAGGATTGGACATTAAGGAAAATTTGAAATGTTCGTTAGTCGTAAGCCGCCATTCTGAATTAGTTTTGGGAAGATTTATACCCTTCTTTAACTCAGGATACAGGGGCGGATCTAGGATTTTTCGTACGTTAGTCAAAAATTTCGTTGCTGAACATCGAGAGTTGGTTTTAAGGGGGGGCTGAGTCGCAAAGCAAATTCATTTGTGTTCTGTTTTACGAAAAAAATGTTACGTGAAAAATGACTGTTTCGCCCAATGTCGGGGCTCGTCAACATGCCTAGGAAACACATAACTCCATATTTGGTCCTTTTACATGAATGGTCAAAAGATTTTCAAATATAGCGATGCAGTTTTATAAAACATTTGATTGATTTAACAATCAAGAATTTCCACGTTTAATTTCCACGAGAATTTCCACGTTTAATTCACTGCTTCTCGAGTTTTATTCATAGCAGAAACATGTACCATGAATAAGTATATTCACAATGACAACATGATCCATTTTACTTGTTGTTCATGTTGTAGAGATCGTATTACACAAAGCCAATGCCACATTGTCATGTCTGTCATGTGCTTGTAGTTTATACTAGACAACTAGGTATAAATAATACAGTATTATTAAGTATTTGATCAATATATAAAGCCCACATTCCACAAGAGGCATAAACAAAGTATAAACACACTGAAACTGCTTGTATTAAGCCGCAGTATTATGTAAATTGACTGAAATCATAGTTATGTAAATTTCGTCTCTTATTGCGCACAGACGCGCAAATTATCCACTTCAGCCTACTGTATCAACAGTTATAATGCTACATCTAGTTAAAACTTAAAATAGAATATATTTACCTTAAGGCCGGCGTACAAAAGTTTTTTGTTTCTCTCGAACGTACTTCGGGACGTAAGATTCCGCACCAAAATTTCGCGGTGCGAGAAAGAAGCTTGTGTACGTTGTTCACGGCGCTCAAAGTCTCAATAGATATTAAGATATTGTCGATCATCTTTCTCTAAAGCCAACCTCGCTCCGTGATAAAAACCCTGGTTTGCGAAGTTGCTCTAAAGCAGCCTTTGCGGTTTCGTAAATACCAACAGACATGGCTAGTATTAATAGTTTGGAAGAATTAGAACTTCTGATAAATTTTCCGATTGCTATAAAACGCACATGCTATAAAATCGGCGAGTACGCGTATAATAATAAGAGACGAAATTTACATATAAATATTTCAGTCAATTTACATAAATACTGCTGCTAGATCAGAAAGATCCAGCAACGTCATAGACCTTTCCGTGCATACTATTAGCCTGAACGGTATGATCGATCAAAAAAATCCAGCCAACGGGAATGCAGGATTTTTTTGAATTAGCCAATCGGATAGCTTGTATTCGAGCCCCTGATCGCTTTAGCGATCAGAACTCCCCACAGATCGCGCAAAAATCGAGATGGCCAATCAGATGGCTGGAATCCGACTCAGAGCGTGCAAAACTCATGCGTAAGACCGCTTTTCTGCGCGTTCATGTTCGAAGGCCTTGCTACTGGATGATATTTTAGAACTGGACTGTTACACTTTCAATACAATACACTGCGCGAAGTTTGATAACTGGACTGCTATTTTAATTCAACAATTTTCTGGCCAATTTTTACCTTAGTCGCGTGATCGCTCTGATCACCCCTAGATCCGCCCCTGTCAGGATATTCGTCGTCTTGGTTAGTATCATTAGCTTCAATGTTGGTAGTATCATCTAGGTCTTCCATGCAGTCGTTGTTGCTTTCTTCCTGATCTAATACATCTTTCAGTAACTCGTTATTCAGCCCCAATATCACCATACAACTTCGTTGATGCATCTTGAGACCTCGAGCTCCTTTACAAGTCTTTCCGCAACAACACTTAACTCCCACCTTTTTAACAGCGGCTAAGGTGGCGAACTGATTACTGGTTCCACCGCTATTCCATGTGATGTAGTATGGTTAGAATTAACATTCGCAGTACTGTCGTTGATCTTGTCTTTACAACGCCACTGATGCTGACCAAGTGATACAAAATCTTTTCCACAAAAAGAACATATAACACAGGACAAAAGTAAACATATAAAGCTTGAACGGATCATAATAAAATATTATTGAATCCAAAATTTATAGATTGTAAAATATCAAGTCGAAATATTTCAATTAAACTTCAGACATGTGCAGACCACGTCGTGCTCTGCTCGATGTCATAATAATCCAAATAATAATAATAATAATAATAATAATAATAATAATAATAATAATAATAATAATAATAATAATAATAATAATATAATTTTTTTTTTTTTTTAATAATAATAATAATAATAATAATAATAATAATAATAATAATAATAATAATAATAATAACCCTCTGTGGTTTGGTGTCAAGTATTCAAGTGTATTCATAATAGGCGATTGCTTCCAATTAAAGGATTCTGAAATTTTCTTATTGTTAGTCAAATGTATATATATGTTCAATTAGAGTGCTCAGTTTCAAGCTTGTATCTTCAAATGTTCATCTTTTACTAGGTTACTTACGCAAAGAAAAATATTGACAGGGTGCATATATTATAAATATTATTAAGAAATTAAAATATCTTTGTAAAGCGCACGGCTGCTCTTGGGAATTTAAAGCAGCTTCTTATTAAACAGTTTCTTTATGCTTGAAATTTACTTATGTCAAGCTTTTATGCACTTGTAGGTTCAGCAGAGTGCTAGACTACGCGGTGATCGTGGAGGATAGAGTTACGTAGAAATAGGTTAGGATTCCGCTCGATTGTCTATGGTCTAATTCAGTTATAATTTTGGGGGTCTTACATTAATTACGACCTTAACCCTTTCAAGGTTTATTCCGCCATATTGCAGGGGGTGCAAAACATTGGG